GTATAATTTTTTTTATTATGCCTATTAAATGTAACAAATACTGGGGATTTATAACATAAGGAATTTGATTGATATCCTGAGTAAATGTGTCTTTCATCAAAATAGTAATGGTGACAAAACATTAACAAAGTGATATGTATGATTATTAGTGAGCTTTTCCACAAATAAACTAGCTTTTCTTTTTAAAGCATAATACCTGTGTGAAGCAATGCATATTAATCTTATAGAAGAAAACAATGAGGAGAACTCAAAAAGATACAGGGAAAAATAAAATTTAATGACAGAAGAACTCTAAAATTACATTCAGAGAAGTTTATAACATAAAAGCAGGAAGATGGTACAATGCCAATTGAAGGCAAGTCCAAAAAGCAATAATACAAGTAAACATAGTGAGATAGATACTGCATGGGAAATGAAAAATGAGACAGTGTTCAGTTGAATAACTGTTTTCTCAACTAGGCATCTTAGAAGGACATTTCTCTGAAATGCTTTCTCCAGGAGAAAGTATTCCCCTTTTATGGGGACTCATTAGCATTTAAAGGCCTTGAAGGATCCCTCAGCAAAGAAAATTGATCACATTGTCCAAAATTTGACCATGGGACCCAATTTTATATAACACCTGTTAACAACTCACAAAGACCCCTTGTTGTGAAAATTTATCCCAGAAAATTAGATTTGGCTATTAAAAATAACAGGTTTTGAGATGAGCTCAGTATGTTTGAAAAATTGCCTGGCAAATACATCATGGTACTTATTTCTGCTTCCATTAAAGGAGGGAGTTGTTTTCTTAACTGTGTCTTCCAAATATAAAATTGTATAATGTAAAAATGCTTAAAAGCAGATTTGATATTCATGTCTCTATTTAATTTTTAGAAAAATCTGAACTTATTCAATCAAGTGCTTATGAACTTCCACTACTTAGGTTAAATGTATGTAACCCTTCTAATTCATTCTGAATTATGTATGTATTTCTAATGTACAAATATTCCTTGAGTGAATTGTTTGCTTAGGAGATTTTTTTTTTTCATTGACCCCCATGGTCTCTTGGTCTCTTTAAGTGTTTCTGGCTATACTACAAAGTTAAATTTAAATTATTTTCTATGTAATTCATTTCCTTTCTCCTTTTCATTAGCATGAATAATCAAGAATTCATGGCATTATGATTTTTTAAATGTCAGAGATTGTAAAGCTGTCTTGCTTGTTACAGTAAAAACTTCATTAAAGGCTATCATGTATTCAGAGAGTTGTGTAATTCAAAGCAGCTGCACATCCAGCTCCTCTTCCCCAGATGCACTATTGTCCTTTAAATGAAAGCATCAGATAATCTAAGTACTTGTAAATTTCAAGCCTAGTTTCTAGGTGCCAGGCAATTCAAGGTAACTATGTTTTAATAGTTTTTATAGTCCCTTAGCATCAAACTCATCACAAATGATGTTTTCCCACTGGTTCTATAAATTTTGAAGAAATGGCTCCTATTGGAATGATCATTTAACAGTTAATAATATACTCTTTGCCAAAACCTTATATTTTAGCATTATACTTTAGAAACATTTCAATATTATAATTACTTATTTTAAAAGTATTTTGGTCATGGGAGGAAAGAATCTCCTCTTCCTCGTTGCAGGAAAATATTCACTTGTGGGGCTGGATTACCTTAATTATGTTTTTTAAACCTATGAAGTATGTGTGTTTTTATAAAGGTAACAAATACTCACTAAAATGTGATATTTTTGTAGGTATATGTCTAAATAGTGATAGTTTCCTAATAATGTATGCTTTAATTGTTTTTCCTGAAGAGATTACATTTGTCATTGTGAAAAGTAAGTTTTTTTTTTTTTTTTTAATTATTTTAGGTTCCGGGGTACATGTGCAGGGTTGTTGCATAGGTGCGTATTATATCCAGCATTTCTCCCCAGGTTACTCCTCCCCACCCTTCCCACCCCCTGCTGTCACTCGCCTAGCTGCTCCCCAACTGTCCTCAGTGTGTGAGGCTCCTCTCCCTGAGTCCACATGTTCTCATTGTTCAACACCGGCCTACGAGAACATAACGGTGTTTGGTTAAGAAAAGGAAGATTAAGTGACTACGGGAATCATGAGACAGTGATGATCGTAAGTATCTTAAAAGATCAAAACAGAAGAAAACTTTATGTAAAATATCTTTCTTTATCATATAGTAGCCAGAGACAACTTAAACCAAAATCAAAATAAATGCTAATTTCATATCCTTCTGTCTTCCCTGACATGGTGTGTTTTTATAAAGCTGAACTTTTGTCATTAATATATTTTGTAAATTACTTATGGAAAAAGGAAAGATAAAACCTATGTTTACATAAACCCTTCTACATCACAAAGAACTTACAAGCACTCCAAACTTAAGGTTTTGGCACACCAACTACACAGCATTCAGGGAGGAGAAAAGGGGTTAGCAGAAAGTGTATTTAGGATGCATGCCACCCACCATCGAGTAATGGTTTAAGTAGAAAGTAATCAGAGGGAGACCGCAGCAGCTAAATTTCAACCAAAGATATTCTAGGTTTAGAACAATAAATAATTTTTAATCAGGTATGTTCCAAGGAACAAATAGGACTCTAAGGCTATAACTCAGCCTGAATAAGCACTTGGAGGCTGCCGGATCAGCAGCTACCCCATATATAGCACACCACCTGACCTTCCATTAAAATTTCTAATATCTTCAGTGCAGAGAAACCCATATGTTCTAAAACGTAAAAACTTTGGACTGGAAAATGTATCTACTATATTAATTTAGACAGCATCTTTCACCTACAAGGAGACATATGTCACAAGGTGAAAGTGTATGGAAATGCTGATACGGATGAAGAGAGAGGGACACACATGAAAACTTTAGCACCTTCCTGGAGTCCTGCCTTATTAGAGCCAGAACTGCCTTATAATAGTCTTTTTAGTGTGTTAGTAACTAAAGACTCTTGGAAGGGGTCCAACACCAACCACCTCTCCAGGAGTCTCAATGAGGTAACATGACACTTAAGCTTCCACAAAAACCAGTGTCTACATTTGATGAATAAGTCATTAAGACAGTCTCTACGATGCTAAAGGGATTACTTTTCTTATCAGGGCACACAGCCTTGTATACATGCATCAAGCTGCAACTCATCATTTCATGCGAATGTCTGGCCTCCATATCAGAGTTTATCATTTGATGCTATGGGACTACAGTGAGGCTGGTAAAGGACTCTCTGGAATTATATTGAAAGTAATGAGTTGAAGCCACAAACTATATGGTGCCTGAGTTATTAAAATCTTTATATATGGTTAACTTAGCCGAAAACAAATACAAGCCGTACAATTTGTGAATGAAACAAACTAAAATTCTACCTTCAAACCAAGTGGTTCATACTATAAATGAAACTTATCAATAAAAAAAATTACTGTTTTTCTCTTTGGAGCTTCAACTATTCCCTAGGAATAGAACCAAGAAAATAAATACGAAGATAAGAAACTATATGAGTAGCTTCATTTTTGCCACCTGCCTAGCTCACCCAACTTCCTTCCAATCCTTGCAACTCCCACATGAGTCCTTCACTGAGCTCTGCCCCTAGAGTTGCACTAAAGTAAACAAAGCATTCACTGGTGTGGTCAGCTGTCAGGACAGCCTCCTCCAGTGGCTGAGATGCTGTGGATAACACAGAGTAGGTTTCTCTTTCCTTACTTGTGGCCATCTCCTCACAGATCACGCTCATGGTTTTAAGAAGAAAGTACAATCTGGTTCAGTTCAGTGTCTAGCTAAGACTTCTGCATTAGGAAGCGTAATTCACATCTATTGTAAATGTCATCATGCCTATGAGCTCTAGAATATATTTACACAGACAATACTGGGCTTTCCTTGATGAATGCTTTATTTTTCCTTTTTTACAGGAGTCCTACATATCAAAGTTTTGGGAGATATCTTTCTAGTGGTTCTGACAGTATTGATTGAGGCACGACCTTATTCCTTGAAGATTCTTGGCTATTGTTCAACAGTTCACTGAAAATAGGCTTTGCAGTTACATTTCTTCTTATCATGAATGTAGTAAACAAAAAAGCCTGGTGAATCCTCAAAGCATAAAAATACAGTTAGTGTCCAGGAAGCTTTCCCTCAAGCTGTTAACACAAGGGAGGGAGGCTGTTAGCATAAGTTACTCCCTTCACCACAGGGGCTAGGAGAAACCTTGTTAAGCCATTAATTTCAGTCCGAAGTGATCTGTGCTGAAAAATGGGATGAGCAGATTTTCTTGGGCAGTTTCCAAGAGGTGTTTACATCCAAGGTTGCTCCCTCCCCTTGTTCCCCAGCTTCTCCCAGCATGGATGTGGTACAACCCCTATTTACCCAGATGCGTTTTAAATAATAGAAACACCCAAGCACCTGGCTTTTGTTTTGTTTTGTTGCCACTAAGGAACTATCAAGTAAAGTGTCAAATATAGTACAGTAACACAAAAGGTGCGAATTAAGAGCGAGTGCAAGATTTGGAGAAGCAACTATTTAAAAGGAGAGGGGAAAACGTCTAATTCAAGACTGATTTCTTTCGTGGGCCCTAGCATTGGCATAAAATGGCATCTGCCTCTTAGTAAACATGGCTAAAGCCCAGTCCAAAGGAATTTCCGCTGGCCGATTTAGGAATCAACAGAATAAGGCACCTTAGAGGTGCTCCAGACACTCAGGGCAGGAGGCCTCGCAGGCATGGGGTGTCGCCCCTTCCCTTTTTCCACGAAGTTCCTCCAGCCTACCCCTCCACTGCTCCGCGCCCTTCCTTCTCTCCATTTCCCCCTCTCACTTTGGATTTGAAAACTGGGCTTACAGGAGATGCAGCTGGCGACACGCGGGGTGTGACTGGACGGAGGAATCCAGAGGGCAGCTGCGGAGGGCTAAGAAAGGTCCCTGGGCAGGGCCACCGAGCGAGGGGCAGAAGAGGCAGCTGTGGGGGTTACTGGGAGAAAGCTGGGGCGGGACCGCGGGAAGGGGGGTTCTCATCTCGCCCACTCACCTGCTGCTCCCGCCCGAAAGCTGCGAACCGTGTTGCCTTCGCGCAGAGGCTGGGGGCGCCTGGGCTGCGAGCCTCGCTCCGGGGAGCCCGGTGTTCGCGCCGCCTGGACCGTGCTGTACCTGTCATAGAGCCGCAGCATGTGTTCAGAGACCTTGTCTTGAGGCTGCAGCTCGGAGTCCCGGCCACCACCTGCCGTGCGGTCACCTGGCACAGCTTTACGGACCTCCGGGAAAGGTTGCTTCGGTCTCTCGCCCTGAGCCAGGCTCACGCAGAAGCAGCCCAGCCACAGAAAGAGCAGCCTGCTCACCCCAGCCATGGCGAGGTACCCGCGCGGCGCGTCCGCTCCCGGCGTCGCTGCGGGACACTCCGAAGGCGCAGGGAGCCGGCGTCAAAGCCGAGGGTTGAACTCCAAACCAGCTGGGGCGAGGGCTCACGGAGTCCCGGTCACGGCCGAGTGCAGCGAGATAGCCGCCAGCCCCACTTGCGGCGCGGGCCGAGCGCAGCCCGGCAGGTGGGCTCTTCCCGGCAGCTGCGCGGACCTCACCAGCGCAGGGGGCTGCGGGCGCCGTCTCCACTCCAACGCTGAGCAACGGCTGTAGGTCGCGGCGTGTGTGGCCCGGGTTTTTTCGGGATTTGTCTGTACCTTCCTGCCTCGCTTTATTTTTTGGGAACACCCGGCCAAACGGGCCGCGGTAGGGACTAGGACTAGCGCTGCTTTGGGTGCCGGGTCGGAGCGGGGTCGGAGCCCTGGCTGTGCGCAGCGGTCCGGAGGGCGCTCGATCGCCTTTTCCAGGGATTGGAGTAGCTGCGGCGCGGCTGGTCCGAGTTTTTTAGTGTACACGTGTGTGTGTGTGTGTGTGTGTGTGTGTGTGTGTGAGAGAGAGAGAGAGAGAGAGAGAGAGAGAGACAGACAGAGAGACAGAGAGACAGAGACAGAGAGAGAGAGAGAGAGAGAGAGAGAGAGAGAGAGACAGAGAGAGACAGAGACTGAGCTCTTTCGCTCTCTAGCTGATGGGCTGTGGAGTCCTCAGCCAATCTCTCCCACTCCCTCGCCCTTGCCCTCCTAGGCAGTTTGCACCAGGCTGGGATAGAAGCAAGGAGGGAAGTAACCGGAGAACTGGCAGCAGGAGGGAGAGGAGAGGAAGTAGGGGTGGGACGGCTGGGGAGGAGAAGGGAAAAGGAGATTTAGGACTAAAGAAATGGTAGAAGGGACAGGTTTTTTTAGATTCTGCAATTACAGTGGCTGTATGCTAGCTAGCAAGAAGGCAGAGGAAGACAGAACTTCTTCCTGGCGTTTCGCTCTTCTGATTCCATACAAAGTCACAGCGTGAACACCATTCTCGATTACTTCTCTGAGTCTCTTCTTGACGGAGACTGCGGGTCCCTGCACCTGTACCCCGCTGTCATAGCTTCTTGTCTTTCTGAGAGCATAAGCATCATAGCACCCTTCTCTTCCGCATCATCTTCTCTCGAGGTGAGACATACGTGCAAGTCAATTCCATGTTAAAAACAAATAAAAAAAACGAGCAAACACACCACAGTCCCACCTACAGCTCCCCTCAAAGGTTTCCTTCCTATAAGTCCCCAAAAGGTTTCCCTGCAGGATGGTGCAGTGGTCCTTAAAAACAAGGGTGTCTGGAAGGTCCTGGAGTCCGGAACAGAACACGAGAGTCGCTAGCTTTGTCTTCCTAATTCTCTCTTGTCATGGCTGTACAATGGAGATTAAACTAAGAGCTTCCAGGCACAGTGGCTCTGGACTGCAATTCCAACACTTTGGGAGGCCAAGGTGGGCTGATCTCGAGGTCACGAGTTCGAGACCAGCATGGCCAACGTAGTGAAACCCCGTCTCTACTAAAAATACAAAAATTAGCTGGGCGTGGTGTTGTGAGTCTGTAATCCTAGGTGCTGGGGAGGCTGAGGCAGGAGAATAGCTTGAGCCCAGGAGGCAGAGGTTGCAGTGAGCCAAGTTTGTGCCTCTGCACTACAGCCTGGGTGACAGGGCAAGACTCCGTCTCAAAACAAACAAACAAACAAAAAATACCACAACTGTTCATGCTCTAGACATGCCTTGTTATTTATCTTTCACATATATTACCAAATAATTTTCACAATAAAACCCAATTTATAGATGAGGGAATTGAGGCAAAAGGATACACAGGAGGTGACAGAATTGGGATCCAAACTCAGGGAGTCTGACTTCTGGCCTCAGGCTAGATCATCACACTATTAATAATGAAATTAGCATTTAAACCGAAGTTTCTGTGTACAATCCATGTAAATGTGCTTAGTGCAATTCTTGGCCAGATGCGGTAAAATCCTCAATGTTTAGCGCATTCATCCCTCTTCCCCTCTGTGGGGCAATGGAGTTTATTGAAAAAAAGATAGTCTCCTGGAGTCACACCGAGTCTCCAAATATGAGTTTCTTCTTTGATGGTGAATAACAACACATTCCTTTTAAAGTTTTGTTTGGATGACATTAGAAAGCAGTGCTAAAGTGACTGGCGCACTGACTAGTCTTTAGTAGGGGCTCAATCCTTTTCTATCCTAAACTTTATCCCAAATGCAGACTACATTCTCCCCACTCAGTCACTTCTCAACCCACTGCGGTCTGGATTTTGCCCTTAGCCACCCCGACAACTGTTCTGCAGATAATAACACATATTTCAAGAGTAGTTGTGAGGATTAAATGAGATCATGTGTTTGATCTTTGCTTGGCATAAAGAACTCAATAACTTTTGTGATTAATAATGGAGGTCTAATTGCAAAATTCAATAGACCCTGGAAACTCTCTGTCTCTTTGATTTTCCCTGTGAACCATTGGTTGTTTTTCTATTCCTTTCTGCTCTCTTTCAGTTCTGTGAGCTGCCTCATCTTTCTAGGCCTGCTCAAGTGTTCCTGACATCTTTTCTCTGCCGTGAGAGAATGCCAAATCCAGAAGAAAATTCTTTTTCACTTATTCTGCCTTGGTGGTCACTGCTGGCCTTTAAATATATAGTTCTGGGTCCCCCCGCCACCCCAGTTTCAGTACTCATTGTCACAAATTCATCCTCTTCCCCTTTAAAACCATCTTTGAGACTTCCCTCCCTTTAGGTACAGTGCATATTTCTGTCACAGCATTTACCACTCTGTACTCCATATGATTCTTCATTTGTGGATACTGAAGACAGACAGCATGTCTGCAATGCCTCCCTTTACCTTCCTAGCTATATGTACCTTCCGTTTTCTGCACGTCCATTTTGTTATTTAAGCCATAAGTAAAAAATAATAGTGTCATCTCACAGGGTTGTTGTAAAGAATAATTGGATAGTCCATGTCAAGAGCTTATCATAGTGCCTAGCACTCTTCTTAAATGCTTATGAAGAGTCAGCTGACACCTAAGAGAATCACTTGTCTGTTTTGCCTAAGGCAGAGAAGAAGACATAATCATCTTTATATTTTAGTGACCAGCCATTATATTCAGAATAATGAAAGTAACAGGGGATGATGTGCAGGTAGAATAATTCCTAACAGAGATACTCAGCTGTAATTGCAAGACTAGAATAGAAAGCTTGGATAGGGAGCCAGCAAACTAGAGAACTCTAATAGCAGCCAAATTTTGGACTTAAAATAACTCATTTGTAACTAACATACATCCAGGAAGAGGAGGCAATGAATGAGATTGATGAAGCCAGCAGCAGCATGTCCAGCAATGACAAATAAATGATACCCCTGCCAGACTCTTGGAATGAAGTCTTGGGGAATTGAATTGAAAGCAAATTGAATGGGAAAGAAACAACTCCCCTCATCAAACACCTGGAGATGCCATCTTGTGTTTCAAGACAGTAGCACAGTGTTTGTCTTATCAAAGGCTGCAGAATCCCAAATCTGGATGGATTAAATTGTTTCCGAATGGTGACATCTTGAGATGCCTCCACTCAAATGGTATAAATCATAGGATTCATATTTCTGGCTGAGCATCTGGTTTCCTTGATGTACGGAGGGTTTGTAGCCTTTCGGGAAGAACTGAGCTAAGCATATTGGTGGTACACATGCCTTGTATCTGATTTTTCTGTTGTGTTGCATTAATTATGAGTTGTTTTAATTTTTAAATAATAGGACTTTCCTATTTTATGTTATAGATTGTGACTGTTATAGCCAACTGCTGAATCAGAGGATACTTATCAGTCTTTTTTCCTAAACACGAGGAGAGTTAAAGGAAGGCATTTCTAAAATAGAAAAGAACAGCAGATTAGTGGATTAGTGGATTCTGTTGCATTGAACTCTACTTTTGACTATGAAAATCCTATGCATGTATGTATGAATTCATGTATATTATGCTTGTCTTCATTGATATTCTTGAGTGATATACATTTATTTTCTAAAAAACTTCTCAACCATTATTATTGAATACTTAGGTAAGTCTGTATTAACAGTTGTGGAGTTCTGCTACCCTCCTCTTTTTTTATTACTTCCATCTTCATTTTATTCACTCAATATATATGTAGTATCTATTGTGTTATTGACAATTTAGTGTTGAGAATACAAAGATGAAATGAAATGGTTTCTGTCCTATGAAAACTTAGTCTACTTGGGAAATAGGAATAACCACTTGAAAAATTTTAAGGTTTTGTTTTTTTGTTTTTGTTTTTTTTTTCTAGTTGAGTAAGGCAAAGAGTGCTGAAGGGAAGAGATGATAATTGAATTGAGATTTAAAAGCAAAGTAGGTGGTTTTCCAGGGGTATTTTAGATAGACTATTTCACGCAGAGGAAGAATATGATCTACATTTAGGTGGGAGAAGTCTTTCTTCTGGGGTCCTCTTTCAACTTCATACCAATCTTTCTCTCCATTATTTCTTCAGTTAACTCACTTGCGTTATATGCTTTTATTTAGTTACCAATAACTCCACAAGGATTTCTAGCCTTAGGCCCCTACAGTATTTCAGTATTCCAGTACCCCCATTCTTTATAAACTGTGTTTATCCTGCTGGTATTATAAATTCGGTGCATCTAAAATTGGTCAACCATCCTCAGTATATTCTTGGTTTCTGAACCTTTATGTTGACACCTTTATCCTTTCAGCCATCCAAGTTCCAAGTCTTAGACTTGTATTAACCTTCTCCTTTCTGACTGTCACATATTAATTGCTAAGTCACATACAGGATGTCTCTACTATTTCTTTAATTTGTTTTTTTTTTTTATTTCCATTGCAACCTCTTTCATTTAGTTATTAACTTATTTTAATCTAGGCTATGTTTTTAGTCTAAATAGCTTCCAGTTCTTTCCCACTCCAGATGAATCTGATTTCTATTGCCGCATAGCAAATTACTACAGACGTAGAGGCTTAAAATAACACCCATTTATTATTTCACCATTCTATAGGTTAGAAGTTCAGGGGAGCTCAGCCTGGTTCTCTGCTCACATTCAATATGTTGGCCAGCTGGTATTCTTATCTGAAGTCTCTGAGTAGAAATCTTCTAAGCTCATTCAGGTTTTTGCAGAATCCAATTCCTTATGTGTAATTGTATGACTGTGGTTCCATATTTTTGCAGACTTTTAGCCAGGGCTTGTTATTAGCTACCAGAAGCCACTTGCCATTTCTTCTGTATGTTCCCCTCCATATTAAAACCAGTGATAATTTTTTTTTTTTTTTTGCG